ACCTGTGGTCGCGACCCCTTTGGCGGTCGAATGACCCTTTCACAGGGGTCGCCTAAGACCATCGGAAAACACATATATAATTACATATTGTTTTTGTGATTCATCACTACGCTTTAATTATGTTCAATTTGAAACAATGAAAATACATCCTGCCTATCAGATATTTCCATTACGATTCATAACAGTAGCAAAATTACAGTGATGAAGTAGCAACGAAAATAATTTTATAGTTGGGGGTCACCACAACATGAGGAAACTGTATTAAAGGGTCGCGGCCTTAGGAAGGTTGAGAACCGCTGCCTTAAGGGCATACAGTGACTCTCCACCTTCAGACCTCCAGGGATGTGATGCTAAAATTCTTTGAACTGGTCCCCAAGTGCCAGCGGGAAGGACCTGCCAGATGGGACGAAGCTTGTCTTCAGGTTCAGATAACCTTGCTCCCAACCCGCTGCCTCCTGTCCCTCTCTCCTTTCTTCAACCTGCCGTCCTCCCCACATCCCTCCGAAGGGACCAGCCCTGCCCTGGCAGCTTTGCCCTTTGTCGGCGGTCCCTCCCTCCCTTCCTCAGAGCTTCCCTGCCCACTGCTCGCTGCTTTTCCTTCTAACCCAGACGTTACTGGGAAGGACCGGTCTTCGGTGAGGACACTGAAGCGTGAAGTCAGGCTCGGGGAGGGGTAATGGCTACTGCGGTCCCACTGGCTCGGCCTTGCGGATGCTCTTCTCCAGCTCACAGGTTCCAGCCCTGTAGGTGGTCCTGGCTGGGGGGCCCCTGGCATCTTCCGCCCAACAGTGCCAGGCAGAGCCCTTTCGGCAGCCAGTGATAGCAAAGCAGCAGGGACTGGATAAACGACAGGACGGTTATGGGCCCGTGCGCCTGCGAAGCTGAGGGCTTGGCTGTACTTGCCGGGCCTGGCTGGGCCTGGCTCTAGGGGTCTGTCCCCTCGTTCACCTGCCTTCCCCCACGCTGGCCCGGTTCTCAGTCAGGTCGCCCCCTTGCTGGCACCCTGGCAGCCCAGGTTTCTCTCACCCGGAGGAGGAGGGTGCCTCCTTCCGCAGATCCCAAGGCTGCGCTCACTGGTCAGGCGGCCCGCTTGGGTCATGTGACGGGTCTCCTGTCAGCACCCAGAGTTAGTGTAGGTCACTAGGCCTGGAGCTGGCTGTGGGGTTGGTCCCATTAGCACCTCAGGGCCTGAAGCCAGGAAAGGGGGGCAGATTTGAGGCAACCAAACTGGGGCACCCGAATGGGGTAACCAGGGCACCCGAATGGGCTTTCCAGAGCACTCACTGTGCCGGGCACCACGCTGGGGCCTTATCTTCTTTAACTCCCTGGTTTCTCACAACACGCACAGGAGGTTGGTGCTAGCATTTCCATTCCACAGATGGAGAAACTGAGGCCCAGAGAGCGGAACTAGCCATGGCCACATGAGTACATGGCAGAGGGGGATTTGAGCCCTGGTGGGGTGGCCCCTAAGCTGACAGTCGATAGCCACTGCCCTTGACAGCCTTGGACTGGGGTCGTGATCCCGAGTCCCTGCTGCTTGCGGAGAACCTGAGGCTCTGGGGTGTGGAGGGGGATCTGAGAGGGCCCACAGTGAGCCTCGGGAAACCTCCACCAGGCACACAGCGTACTGGAAAGATGCCTTCCCTCTCGGGCCTCAGTTTCCCAACCTGTAGATGAGGGAATCGTTGCAGCCTCCTAGTGAGCTGGACTGTTGGGGCTGCAATGGGATTTGGGCCTGAAGGTGCGCTTCACACTTAGAGTGCTGGGCGGGGGGCTCCTCAGTGACGCACCCTCCGCTAATGGGGTTTCAGGCGCAGAGGCAGGCTCTCTGAGCCCTCAAAATGCCTTGTGTGCCTTCCTGCTTCCCCCCAATTCTGCCCCCTTGTGGCGTCCGTATGGAACACCCCTCAACCCTCCCCCCTCTTCTCTGCTTCTCCCTGCCCAGGTCACCCTCAGCTACGGCGTCTTTGAGGGGAAGCTCAACGTCATTAAGCTGCAGGGCCCGTTCTCCCCCGAGGAGGACCCCTCCAGGTGGGTCTGGGGCTGAAACTGTTGAACGGGAGGAATGGGGGCTGAGCCCAGGCACCCAAAGGTGGGCGAGCCAGGAGGCAGGGGTGTGAGAGGCCCTTGGGCTGACGGCACAGAGCTGGGAGTGAAGGGCATGGTGTTAGTCCCTGCTCCCCCGCTGGCTTGCTGTGTGATCTTGGGCAAGTGCCTTGCCCTCTCTGGGCCATAATCTCCCCATTTTGTAACCCCAGGAGGCTGGGTGCTGTGCATCTGGAGGCCCTCCCAGCCCCGGTCCTCTGGAATATGGGAATGTCTTTGCTGAGCAAGGACCTGCTCCCATGAAGGACCTGCAGGCCCCGCTGGGGAAGTGTTATTTGATCTTTGTTTCCTTGATTCTCTTCAGTGGCTCTTTTCTGTGGGTAGAAGACTGGGATAGGAGCTGAGATGTCACCTGGGCACCTTCCGGTTCTGCCCTAAACTGGCCCCAGGTTGATTGGGGCTGCTCAGCTCAGCCCTGGCTGCCGTGGAGCAGCTCAGAGCACAGCCTGTGACCCACGGTGGCAGGAGGGACGAGACCTGCTCCAGGAGGTAGAGGAAGGCAGTGGGACTGGAATGTGGGACAAGAGAGGAGGGTGGTGCGGATTCTTCTCCCCGCAAGGCCTTGGGTCTGGACTTTGGATTTATCTGAATTATGTAACCCGTGGGGGACCAGGCCTCCTGGCTCTGAAGTTCTGCACAGCTGTCTGTTGGGGGTGGGGGGCAGAAGACATGATTATTCCAAGGGCTGGGGGCCAGGGGGTTCCTTCTAATGGGGTGAGCTCCCCATCAGTGGAGGTGTGCAAACGGTGGCTGTGCTGCCAGGAGGTTTAATAATTACTGTTACGTTCTCTAAGCCCGAAGATTCTAGGGTCCATAGGTTTCTGCTTGAGGGGCTGGAGCCGACTGGGACTAGGCTATGCAGGGTTGGAAGGCCCCGGCTCAGCTGGGCCTCCTCTGGCTCCTCTGGCCTTGGAGGCGTCCCTGAGGCAGCAGTTCTCAGCCAGGGCCCCTGAGGACGCCTGGCCGTGCCTGAGACATGCTTGAATGTTACCACGCAGGGCAGTGATGGCGAACCTTTTGAGCTCGGCGTGTCAGCATTTTGAAAAACCCTAACTTAACTCTGGTGCCGTGTCACATAGAGAAATTTTTTGATCTTTGCAACCATAGTAAAACAAAGACTTATATTTTTGATATTTATTTTATATATTTAAATGCCATTTCACAAAGAAAAATCAACCAAAAAAATGAATTCGCGTGTCACCTCTGACACGCGTGTCATAAGTTCGCCACCACTGACGTAGGGAGATGCCAATGACATGTAGTGGGCAGAGTCCAGGGGACGCGGCTAAACATCCCGCAACGGACAGGACAGCCCCACAACGAAGAACTCGCATCCCGAATGTGAATAGTGCCGAGGCGGAGAAACCCCGCTCCAATCCGTCCTTGTGACGTGCGCCCCCCCCTCCACCCACACACACAGGAGCCCGCGGGGTAAGGGTAGGAGTGGGGTGACGCCTGGTCCGTTTCTGGTCTCTCCTCAGGTTCCGCTCCCTGCATTGTCTCCTCTACCCCGACACGCCCTGGTGCCCACAGCTGGTGGCCCGATGAGCCCGGAACTGCCGGGCGACTGTGGACTGAGGCCTCTGGTGGTCCCTCGCCTCCCAAGGCAGCCCGAGGGCCGGCGGCAGTGCCTGGGTGGGCAGTCCCCGGCAGGGCTGCCGAGTGGTGGGCAAGCCCAGGATCGGATGGTGGCTGGTGGCGAAGGCATCCCAGGCTCCGGAGACGAGGGTCGGATGGCCCGGGAACCTGGTGGAGTCAGAGAGGCCCCAGGGGCTGGGCTCCCACGGGCCCTGGGTGGCTGAATTGAACAGGGTGGGGGCCGTTGAGCTGGCCTGGGGCTCAGGAGTCTGAAACCTCAGCAACATTACAGGGGCTTCTGGGTGGGGGGTGGCCCCAGCCCAGCTCTGGTCTCTGTCACTCCCTGGGTCAAGCACTGGGCCCGCCACTCACTCCGGGGTCCCTGGGCCTGGTCCGCAACCGCTGGGCACCAGGGGGAAAGGCGGCCGAGGGCAGGGTCTGTGGCAGGTGCTGTGGTTGCTGGCCGCCTCCAGCTCCTTGCCCCCCACCCTGGCTAACAGGCCCCGGTTTTGTTTGGAGGGTCAGCCTGCCCGGAGCCGATGATGGATCATCATGGGTCCCAGCCAAGCCTGACGAGCCTTTTGCTCACTCTCAGCTCCCCGTGCGGTTAGGCGCTTCCATGCGCCCAGCTCTGCTAGTCAGAGCTCTGTCCCTTCCTGTGAACTGGGCAAGGCCAAGGGGGAGGAGTCCGGGGAAAGTGTTGCCGCCCCGCCCTCGCTCTTCCCGCTGTGGATGTGGGTGCGATGTCTGGATCTGGGCAGCCACTTGGCGGCCATGAAGGAGAGGCCAGGACAACCCTCCGCACCTGTCTTGTCTAGCATCTGGTTCTGTGAGAAAAGTAAAGCCCTGTTTGTTCAAGTCTCTCTTGGCCCAGGTTTTTGTTACACGCGGCTGACATGTCCCTGAAGGGGCGGGGTCTTTGGTCTGCCTGTCACAGTGGCGTTGACTTGGGTCTCGAGCCATCCATCCTTGCTCTGCCCTCGCTGTGCAGCCTTGGGGAATCCACTAGGTCTCTCTGGCCTGTTTGCCCAGATGCTCCTGTTCTAGTAGATGACAAAGGGAATACCTTCCTCCCGGGTTGGTGTCTGGATGGAACGATGCGGTGTCGGGCCCGGCACAGCGCCCGGCACAGAGAACGGCGACTGCTGTTAGTGTGTGTGCGTCATGGTGTGACAGGTGTGTGTGCGGCATGTGCTCTTTCTTCTACACATGTCCGTGCTAAGACTTGTGTGTGGTGTACGTATGTGTTTGTGCCCCCGTCACACGTGTGTACATGTACACGTGTGTGAATATGTGTGTGCCAGGAGGTGCTGGTATGCGGGAGCTCCTCCTCCTTTCCTCTGCCCTCAGGCCTGGGTTGGGGGAGGCCAGGGAATCAGGGAATCAGGGAAGGCAGAGTGGCGACTCGGAGCTGAAGGATTCAGCCTCTGGTGTCGGATAAAGGGGTGCACGGGGGTCACAGCCAAGGTGGGAGCTGAATAAATGCAAGTGCCCTGAGAATGTCGGTCCCAAAGCGGTTGGATGAATGAATGAAGTGACTGTGGGAAATGCTGGCCGGTGGTGCTCGGCTGGGGCGGGTTAGGGATGGGAAGTCTCTCTCCCCACCCGCACCACGCCCAGTGATGCCGGGAGTCAGGGTCACAGTGGGGCTCTGGGCTGGGGGAGGAGGGAAGAGGGAGGAGAGGGCCTAAGGGGTGGGGGCTCCTGTGGACACACCGTCCATCCCTTGAAGGACTGGTCCTTGCTGCTCCCCTGTCTGGGACCCCTGAGCCCAGAGCCTCAGCCCTGTTTTCCAGGGGGAGTCTGAGCCCCAGTGAGGGGCCACTGTGTGCTCGGGGTCACACGCAGGTCAGGTGCTGAGCCAGAGGGCTGGGCTCTTCCAAGCCTTCTGTCTGTGGGGTGTGAGCCAGGAGGAGTGGCCCGGCCCCGCAGCCCGGTGGGGGGAGGGTGGGGGTGGGGGTGGGGGTGGTGTGTGCTCCAGAGCCACGGTCCGGTCCGGTCCGGTCCTCTCCGGCTGCACGTGGAAGGCTGCCTGCCGCCCTGCTGAGGGAAGCAGCATCAGACTCGCGGGCTGTTCCCAAATTCTGAGGGTCGAGTGGAGGGTACAGGCCATCTGCTGCCTCCATTGTCCCAAAATAGCTGTGGGAGGGGGGGGCAGAGTCAGCAAGGATCAGAATTGGGATGGAGGAGGGAGGCTGGGTTTAACCCTGTGTGTGTCTGGATGGGAGAGCGTGCAGCCGCCTGTACTCTGTGCTGAGGTGACCCTTGTGGGCCCGTGGGCAGGCGCTGGGAGCAGGGGCAGGTTGAACTACCCCATCTTGGCCTTGCTGTGCCCCTGGGGCACATATCACTCCCATTTGCAGGTTAGGAAACTGAGGCACAGAGAGGGAGAAGGGCTATGGGTGCCAGAGCCGACTTGAGGCACTTGGCCCTGCCGAGGTCACCTCAGCGTGGGCCGGCTCTGGAGGTCAGGAGCCTCTCCGGGCCCGGCTCCACCTCCGCTGGTCTCCCCTGTGACACAGGCGCCATGACTTCGACACAGCGTGCTGTGTGGTCTCTGGAGATGGCACAGGAAGCTCCTGGCACAGGTAGCGTCTTAAGAAGCACCACCTCCCTGCCCTCTCTGAGCTCAGCGCTCTCGGCTGTAAAAGGGGGTGAAAGGGGTGCTGGGCTGGCCTCCCTCTCCACTCCGCCACTCAGGTCCCAGCCCTTGTCAGTCCCACCTAACACGAGAAGCCTCCTTGCTGGTCTCCCCACTGCACAGGCCCTGG